TATTATCCCTGTTACCCTGTTACATATCGACAAGAGTTGCTGGACTTGAAACTAACGAACATATTCAAGAAAAACAGAGGTTCGACTCCAAGCACAAGTCTCTAGTCATTACGAAGTTCAAGGTCCGTCCTTTTCTTATTTGTCAAACTGTTACCCTATTATATACTTTTTTTCAGGTGGACAAATTGATTTGTTCCAACTTTATGAAAGGAGTGGTTTCTTTCATTTCTCATGTTGTCCAGCAGACATTTGAAAAAGCTGATGACAATGAGAGCCATGTTCAAGCCTTAGCTGATGATAGTTTTTTTGGAGCTATTAAGGTGAGACGTTTAGAGTGGTAGCGTGTAAAATGTAATAAACAAAATGAAAAGAAAAGCTAGTTGAATAAAGAATTTCTTTTTATATGTTCATCACATAAATTCTACATTCAGCCCTGCATTTTATTTTCAGCCATATGCTATTCCAACCAGTTATTAGAATTAGAATTGTCACACATCTGAAGAATACATTTGTATTGTTTTTTTATCTTAATTAGCCAAAGTATAACTGCACTTTGAAGCTGTGGGTGCATTATTAGAGTGACAGTCAAATCCCACTGTTCAGTCTGACAAGAGTTGGTATTGATTAGTGTTAACTAGCTGACTTCTCTCTAGTCTATAAGTTCAAGATTAGGCATGGCTTGTGCAGAAAGTAGATAGACCTTGTGTAGCTTTGCCTCAAATTAATAAAACTTTAGTTAATAAACAAAAAATCTTTTAATATATTGAAATGAACTGACACGTGCATATCGTTTAATACCAAGAAAAACATGACTTAAATTCTGGAAGGGTATTCGTGATATACAAGGAACAAACCCCATATTATTTCATAGATGTAAGAATCATTTCAGGTTGTTTTTTTCTCTCTAATGGGTTCTGATTGTACTAATTAGACCAAAGTTTTTTACAGGTTTACAAATTTCAGTTTTACAAGTTATTATTAGTGGCAGATATTTCACATTTTATGTTTGTAGCCTCCCAAGATTCAGAAAACTATGACTTTAAGACAGTCACACAAGTTTTATATTGTTATTATGCTTAATGTAATAAATACACAATTGAAACATAAGAAATTCTTCCTTATTCTGTGGAGTCTTCTCTGTAAGGTACAACAGGTTTTGACAAACCACTTTTACGGGTGTTATTTTAAACGTTTCAATGTCATTGTTACTTTTAAGGAACAGATTTTGATGGTTGGGTCTCACAAGGATATGTTTTGTTTTTAATTTTCAGTGTTTTTTTAGTGGTTAATTATATGTAGATTAATATCTTTCAGGAGTCTTGGAGTATTCTTCGGGCAAGCCAAGAGGCACTGGCTGCTATTAAACTGTTTTTAGGGAAATACCAAGTGTGTCAGGTAACTGTAACTTTATTTTTTGGACTTTCAAACGTTTTTCAGTTTTTAAGTAACAAAAACCTTTTATACACATGTCCTTAAGTTATTTTTATAGTTATCAAAGAATTAGAAGAAAGGGTAACAGTTTGACAAATAAGAAAAGTGGCTGGAGACGACTTGAATGGGTAATGAAGAGAAACTTTAATATAACAGCAAATGTACAACGTTTCGACAAGGTTTTGTCATCATCAGGTACTGATGACAAAACCTTGTCAAAACGTTGTACACTTGCTGTTATATTAAAGTTTTTCTTCATTACCCATTCAAGCCGTCTCCAGCCATTATTAGTCTCAAAGTGGGTTCCTCGTCATCGAAAATAAGAAAAGGACGGACCTTGAACTTCGTGATGACTAGAGACTTGTGCTTGGAGTCGAACCTCTGTTTTTCTTGAATATGTTCGTTAGTTCCAAGTCCAGCAACTCTTGTCGATATGTAACAGGGCCGGAACAAATTCTTCACCATTCTGAAGTTTTACTTTACAATCAAAATAATACAACTGATAAATTCAGACTCACTGATTTAATAGCAAGAAAATAAGTTCCATTTTGTAAAGAACATTTTTCAGAATAATTTTGTTTCAAAGTTGTCCTTTATCAATCATCTTGTTTCAAAGTTGTCCTTTATACACACCTTCTTCTGTTCGACACTCTAACGGTAAACAATTGTAATGATTAGAATACACACCTTCATCAGTTTGACACTCTAACAGTAAACAATTGTAATGATTAGAATACACAGAATCATCACTTCAACACTCTCACGGTAAACAATTGTAATGATTAGAATACACGGCTTCATCAGTGCGACACTCTCACGGTAAACAATTGTAATGATTAGAATACACGGCTTCATCCGTTCGACACTCTCACGGTAAACAATTGTAATGATTAGAATACACGGCTTCATCAGTTCGACACTCTCACGGTAAACAATTGTAATGATTAGAATACACG